CTTGGTTTAAGATCTAAAAAATGACAAACGTTTTGCTTTAATAAAACGTCATTGGGGCATAGTTCTGTACGTTACAATGCATTTCAGTGCAAAAAATATTTTTTGTTAACGTTACGTTTTATCTTAACTTTTCCAATATAAACTCTTTTAATTACGTTTAGAAATTTTTCTAAAATGCACCCTTTCTTACGTCACGATTTATCGAAATGTTATTGTGAAAACTTTTTTGTTACACTTTTTTACAACTGACAATCAAAACTGTTTATTCGTTTCGTTTCTAAGAAAGATTTGAAAAAATGTTCTATATGATGCGTTGTTCAAGCCTTAATGTTTCTAACGTTAGACTTTATTAAAATAATATTGTTTCTAAATGAAAGCATTGCAAGATTTTTTCCGTGATAATTACATTTTTTAACTCACCCTGTATGTTGCTGTTGTATTGTTAACCTTTTTAGAGAATGTGTAGAAGAATATGCATTATGCAATATGAAGATGTTATAATATTATTATTTTTAACGATTTTCTAAAATTTGTATATGTAAGTTTTTAGCATTAGACTTTCAACTCAAAGGTTGTCTTAAAGGGACTAGAGACGTAATTTCAAGTGACCTTCCATTTATGGAGTGGCATGTTCAGTAGGGGTGATCAATATTGGAATAGAGCCAACCGCCCACCGGAAGTCGCTGCGTTTTCACCGTAAGGCCACAACAAAAAATTATTTTTTATTTTCATGTTATACATCATTTTCTTGGAAATTCAATACTAAATTCAAATCTGAAAAGTGTTTAAAAAAATTTGAGTGAGTCAGAGCTAAAAAACTCATTAAAAACATTAAAAAGTTATAAAACCGGACTTTATTACCGTTATCTGGCAATAACTTCTTTAGATTTTAATATATTTAAAAATGGTTTTCGAATCTGAATTCAGCATGAAATTTCCAAGATAATGATGTATCATATTCATTTTTTGAAATATTTTTTTAGGCCTTACGGCGATATCTCCAATATTAAATTGTCAATTCGCAACCCTATGGAAAACACTCCTAATTTTCAAATCATCAATCAGATAAAAGTTTACACGTTATTATTGGGAATCGAGCATGGCCCTCTTTAAATGGAGGATCATTTGAAATTATTATCGTGTATTTGACGAGCTTAAATGGGACACTTCATTAAATGAGTTAAAATTCGGCAAGGCAAACCACTTTTACATGTGGAGCAGTAGTTCTAAATTATTTTAGATTAGTTTAGGGTTAATTTTTTCTTTTTTTACGCAATGCAGACTGGCCCTTTTCTTCTATCTGACAGAATTCATAGTCTAAAATATCTAAGGTCTACAACATTGGGTAGCAAATATATCGGGATTAGAAATATAAGTTTGTGAACAACTCAATTCCTTTAGACATTCGTATCTAACAGAAGTCATAGCTTGAAATATCAAAAGTCTACAACACCAGCTTGCAGAGATTAGAAAATTATAATTTGTGGCGAATTTTTAGTTCTTTTTGTGTTTTTTTTAATGTTACTTACAAAGTGAGTAAAAAAGCGGCTTTAGCTTAAGTTTACAGACCACAATGAAAATGTTTTCAGAGTTCATGTTTGGGGTTAAAAATATTAAATATCGTAAGGCAAGTCCTAAATTTTTTTAACACAAACAACGTGAAATAAAATTATTTAACATTTTTTTCTTTTAAAAAAAAAATCGATTTAAAAATCAGTTTTTTCCTATTCTAAAGTTTCATAAAATCTGTTGATGAATAAAACATAACACGCATTTTCCAATTGATAAAATATTGTTGCATTTTAGTAAGTATCTACATTTCTAAAATTTGTCAACCTAAAACATGAACTATGCCAACTGAAGTTATGATTTCAAGTAGTCAAATAAATATGAAACCCAGCAATTGTGTTTGTTCACAGACCCGTTCCACTTAAGTTGATTTTTTTTTACAATTAGTAAATCATTTGCTTTATAACAGAAAATGCATATGTAAAATTTCTTAATGTCGTCTTCCTTTTCCAGAGTTTTAGTGGGTTTCATCAAACAAGATGTCCAAGAAACATTTATAAGATTTGAATTTTCACTAGTACCATGTTACAAAAAAGGTCGTTTACACTTTAGTTTTTTTTAAACTTACTAATCCCTATATCTTTCCAATCCGATGGTTTAAACCTTGTATATTTCAATATTAATGGTCTAAGACATCGGGTTGCAAAGATATATTAAATGAAAATTAGATTTTTTGGCATAAACTCATTTTCTTTGAACTTGAAATGAAAAACCATAAGTCTTTGCTCTTATAATCATCAGTCGAATCTCTTACATTGATATATTAGAGACGTTTTGCAATGTTTTGATTGACAGAATTATTGTTACACTTTTGAAATTAAAACTCAGCCCTCATAGTCTAACGTTTTATGGAAAACATTTTCATTAGACATATATCTAACGTTAGACCAATCAATTTAGTATTCAGAGAAAAGTTATGAAACATTATGATTTACAGAATTACATTTTTTTAAATGTTATACGTTACATTATTGAAATTTTACACTGTAAAAAAAAACTTTCGTTTCCTGATTATTAAAATGATAACCCATTTCTGCAACGTTGAATTTTTCATTATACTATAAAGGAAAAGTTTCAAAACGTTTTCATAAACAGTAATGCATTTTTCAGTTATACAACGTTACACTTTTTTAAGTTGAACTTTGAAATAGAAATCCTTTCGTTACGATATGCAATCAAATCACAATTCCTTTTTCAAACGTTAGACTTTCAAGCTCCCCTTGGAAACAAAACATTTCTTTACGTTATGGTCAAAAAAGTTGTAGATATTAGAAAAATAATGTTACATTTCCACAAAACGCTAATGTTGGGGGTATATTCCTCTAACGTTAACGTTTAACGTTAATGTTAGGTATGAGCTCCTATAACGTTAATGTTTAACGTTCACGTTATAAAGAATATATCCAAACGTTACACATTATTGTAACGTAACGTACATAAACGTACATTTTACGTTACGTTACACTATCGTTGACATCTCTACTTCTTACTAAAACATTTATTATCATGATAACATTTCTTTTTATGATACTATTTCTTATTATGATAATATTTTTTACTTCAATACTATTTCTTATTATAATAACATTTCCTATTATGATAAAATTTCTTATTATGATAACATTTCTTACTATGATACTATTTATTATTTTTATAACATTTCTTATTATGATAACATTTCTTATTATGATACTATTTATTATTTTTATAACATTTCTTATTTTGATACTATTTATTATTTTTATAACATTTCTTATTATGATAACATCTTATTATGATACTATTTATTATTTTTATAACATTTCTTATTTTGATACTATTTATTATTTTTATAACATTTCTTATTATGATAACATTTCTTATTATGATAAAATTTCTTATTATGAAAATATTTCTTACTATGATACTATTTCTTATTATGATAAAATTTCTTATTTTTATAACATTTATTATTTTTATAACATTTCTTATTATGATAACATTTCTTATTATGAAAACATTTCTTACAATGATACTAATTATTATTTTTATAACATTTCTTACTATGATAGCATTTCTTACTATGATACTATTTCTTATTATTTTAACATTTCTTACTATGGTAGCATTTCTTATTTTTATAACATTTATTATTTTTATAACATTTCTTATTATGATAACATTTCTTATTATGATAGCATTTCTTACTATGATACTATTTCTTATTATTTTAACATTTCTTACTATGATAACATTTCTTATCATGATAATATTTCTTTTCATGATAATATTTCTAATTATGATAATATTTCTTATTATGTCAATATTTTTTAATATAATAACATTTCTTTTTATTAAAAAAATTTCGTATTATAAAACATTTCTTCTTATGAATTTTTGCTTATTGGACTAGGGACATAAATCACACTCCCAAATCTCAACTCTAAAGAAAAAATCAAGGGGATGGGGGGGGGGTGGAAAACATCCCTCCCCCCAAACCTTTTTTTACTATGATAACATTTCTTATTATGATAATATTACTTATTAAAAAAACATTTCTTATCATTGAATAATTTCTTTTTATGGAAACATTATTATAAAAATTTTGTTATTTTGAAAAAATTACTTATTCTGGAAACTTGTCAAATCATTAGAATCTTTTTAAAATATTTATCATTGTGAAATAATTTTATAAGTGTAATACATATACTGAACCCCTTATTTATTTGTGTACCGGTGCCTCTGAAAATTTTCACCACATTATTAAAGAAGCATTGAGGTAACTTCAGAAAATTTTGATGACATTACCATGAAGATTTTACAGACTTTACCATGAAGATTTTGGTGACAGAAAAATAAAGTTATGCACAAATAGTTCTCTTTTTTACCTGAACCAAATTCCCCTTTTATAATACATCTTGGGTTATCTTGAAAGAGGAACTGAGCTTGATCCTTGTTCCAGAACAAAATGCTTTCCTGGGAACCAACTGGTTTTCCTTTCGAGGAAGAGAGTGTAATTGTGGAAGAGGAAGGTCCTGGATCCTCTGACACTCCAACTCCTAGATCTGATGTGTTGGATCCAACAAGTTTCCATTTAGTTTTCTTGGCAGGAGGTCCTGGATCATCTGACACTCCAACACCTAGATCTGATGTGTTGGATCCAACAAGTTTCTCTTTAGTTTCCTTGACATGGTCCGAGGGTGTCAGGGAGAGAGAAGCAGCAGATTTTGAACAGTGTGCTGAGGCCATCAGCCATTTCACCAGAGTTAGGTATGTTTCATCTATTTCATACTTTGGTCCATTAGGCAGTAGGTCTTCTAAGGCTCTTGACATTTCATGCTTAGTGATGACCAGGCCATTCCGATTCTCATTCAGAAATTTTTGAACTCCTTTAACCTAAAACAAGAATTATTCAAATTTGGTTTATTATTGATTTATTATAAATGTGTGAATATATTCTAAATAAGGTTTTTCTATCATTTGACAGATATGCATAACAAGGTCTGATGAAATATATTTAAATTTTGTTTTATTTTTAAATTTGTGTATCTATAATGTAATCTAACTATGTACAACTACTTTACAGGGAAGCTAGTTAATTGGTTAAGAAGAATTTCTATTTCCCGAAAAAGTATTAGTACACAATTTCATAATCTTTAAAGATGAAAATGTGCGAAATGATGAAAACTCAGCAGAACAAGTTGTCATTTTAGATTTGTACTGTTTAGCATTACCCTTAAATATTTGGTGCTTGCCTTCCCCCCTCTCTTTACTTTATCCTCCAGCATTCTATGTTTGATATATTTAGGTTCAGGTTATATATATATTTAGGTTCAGCCCTTTTCAAACCTTACATTAAAAGTACAAACAACCCCCTGCTACAGGGAAAATAGAATGCAACTCGACCCCGCCTCCTTAGAAACTATTCCGTTATCAGTGTATTTTCTATAGGCTTAATACACGAAAAGTAAATTTATTAGTGCAACAGTTTTGTGTTTTTGATGAAAATACTTTTTTTGCACAAAATTGTGCATTATTTGCTTATTTTTACACAACAGTTTCGCAAAAAATTATGATTTTTTGGCACAAAATTGCGCATGAATACAAAATCTAAGTCACAATTGTTGCATGATTTTAAGCTTGAATATAGAAGTAGGTCATAGTTTTGCTTAAAATTGTGCAATGCCATTGTATATGAAATAATTAATTCATTTGTTTGCTCGCATTAGCTTTTGTGCATCAATCAATGCAGAATTATTTGAAAAGTTGTGTAATTTTTTCACAAAATGTAAGATTACCTTTACTCCATTATTGCACGATTTTTGTTCAAAATTTTTATTGGAACAATTCAACATTTAGATTTTAAGTGTAATAATCAATACCTGGTTCTGATTTTGAGCATTAGGAAAAGCTCCGACTGGTATATACTCCCAGTCCTGGGTGTCTATACCAGTAGCAGCTAGGACTTCTTTGTAGAATATTTTTCCCTCCATAAGCTGGTCAGCCCATCCTGCTCCTCCTTTTTGTCCAGCTTTAACTTCAATTGTAAGCCATTTTCTTAGCTCACCAAAGACTAAGACTATATCGAATTCTTGATCCTTGTGAGGTTGACCTGTAAACCTTCGGAACATGCTGAATTTATAGTTAACAAAGAGGGCTGTTCTTGATGTTTCAGGAATTCTTGTCAAGTACTTGTACATTTCATGTTCAGCATTGTCACCTTTTACATTCCCCATGAAGCTGCCAACTTTGACCTTCTCTCCCAATTCCACATTTTCATACATCTGTTTTTCTAACTCATCAGGAGGTAAATCAGCGGTTGGGATAGAACAACCACTAAACAACCACCCTTCTGGAAATCTGACACTGACCTCTCTAAGATCTTGAAGATATTGCTCAGCAAACCAGTCTGCAGCTTCAGCAGGTGTCCACTCTCTTTTCTCTCCCCCTCCTAGCAGGTATGTATTCTTGCCTTCTTCTCCCATGTTCTCCATCTTGATTTTTCCTAAAATATAAAAGTAATATTCCCTCTCTCTTTTGGGATACTTTTAATACTGGATACCTTTTACATTCCCCATGAAGCTGCCAACTTTGCCCTTCTCTCCCAATTCCACATTTTCATACATCTGTTTTTCTAACTCATCAGGAGTTAAATCAGGGGTTGGGATAGAACAACCACTAAACAACCACCCTTCTGGATATGTGACACTGGCTTTTCTAAGAGCTGGAAGATATTGCTCATCAACCCAGTCTGCAGCTTCAGCAGGTGTCCACTCTCTTTTGAAACTGGCTTCTCTAAGAGCTGGAAGATATTGCTCATCAACCCAGTCTGCAGCTTCAGCAGGTGTCCACTCTCTTTTCTCTCTCCCTCCTAGCCAGTATGTATTCTTGCCTTCTTCTCCCATGTTCTCCATCTTGATTTTTCCTAAAATATAAAAGTAATATTCCCTTTCTCTTTTGGGATACTTTTAATACTGGATAAAAGAATTGTTTTCCACAACTTGCATATTTCTTAACACACTATGGTTAATTCAGCGCAAAAAAAATAAATAAAAAGTTGTCTTCATTGTATTGAAATAAAAAAAAACAGAAAGAGAAGTCAGGTTAGTCAATTCAAACATAAAATATTTTAAAGGATTAAGCATATAAAAGATAAGGAAAGGCATTTTTCAGCTTAAAGTTTTCTTGCACTATAAGATTAAAAACTTAACGGAAAACAAAGTATATATTTCTTGTGTGCATTCAAAACTTCTTAAACAGTTAAACAGTCATGATTTTGGTTGCTACGTTACAAAGTATTAAGAACACGTTTAGTTTAAATTTCCAGGCAAGAATAGTGTACCAATAACAGGAATACACGCTGAACTAAAGTAAATTGCAAGATTTAAATATCATATGCTTTCATTCATAACTCCTCTTAACGAAGATCAATTGAAAAGAAATAAATATGTTTTGAAGTTCTAAAATCCAACCGGATGAATTAGCTTTTTCTCGAACTTTCGTGTAAAATCTAATCTAAAGTAGCTCCTAGCCGTAGCGTCGTACAAGTTGTGTACATCACATTAACTTTCTTTTGTCTAGTTCGAAGTACAGTACAGTACAGTACAGTACAAGTTGTGTTACACAACACTAACTTTCTCCCTCTGTCAAGTTCGCAGTGAAAAGTGTGCCAATTCTTCTTACCGGCAGTTCTTAAAGTGTCTACGCCGTTTTTCTTAAAGTGTCTACGCCGTGTTTTTTATACAGGGTTAGTGGTTACCCACAAAGCATGAGACTGCAATGAAAACATTAAACTCTTTAAATTTGACGATTTCAAGGTTAATTAATGCCTACTGCTTTAATTATCTTCTTTAATTGGCTTCTTTTTTTATTAGGCAAGGAAAGAAACCAGTTGGAGGGAATCCTCAGTGTAAGAAAACAGATTACATAAATTTTGTACAGTCGTCACCATAGTTTCAGTAGAAGTAAATATTTCCATTTACTGATAGCGCCAATTGAAGGATTCATAGCTCTAATTGGATAATGAGATAGATAGAAAGATAGATGTTACTATTTCTATTGGTTCAGAATAGACAACAAACACATGACTGAACCCTGATTGGATCAGGCGCTAATGGACTCGGCATACAGTAGTGTCGTACCATCTTTTGTGGGTAGCCCTGTTATATAGAACAAGAAATCAAAACGAAGAACTATGCGGTTCTGTTATTCTTTGTAGAAAGTCGAAACAAAGATCGGGTCCGTCTTAGTATCGAAATAAAAGAAAGTAAATCTATAAAGCATACAAAGTTGAATTACAAAAAGTATTTAGAAGAAGGCATCATAACTAAAAGTTTATAAACATTGAAAGAAAATGAAAAAACCTATAAAATATAAAAACTGAATGTTTTTAACACCTTTGAACTTTTATTTAATAAAATATAACTTGTTGCCCATAGAACAATGTTTATTTTTAATTTTGGTACATATATCCTGATTTCTAGACTCCAATTATTGGTACACGAGCCAAAACATTTTCCCTTTTCATGCCACATATTATATTTTTTGTCTTCCAGCAGCCATAAGCCACAACCGTACGGTCTTCCATGCCACAGCATTTGAGTCTTCTGGCAGTTACAGTTTAACCCAGAACTTTGAAGACATCAAAAGAATTTATAAAATGTCGTGTTGACAATTTTTCAATGGGTTTTATACTTTGATACCTAAATCTTAGTAATTGTAAAAATAAATGAATAGCCATGAAATACAGGAACAGTTTTAAAGAGCACCATGTAATCATTCAATTAAAAAAACTAAACATCAGCACTCTGCAGCATTGCACTATCAGTAGGTTTAGAAAACGACATTTTATAAATTCTTTCAATGTACGTCTTTGAGGTTCTGGGTGAAACTGTATTACGTTTTTAAATGATAAATTTAGGGCATTGCAATTACAATTTCTAAAAATCCAGCTGCATTACGCGAAAAATGATACCTTTACGAAATTTTAGAAGTGGTTTAATAAATTGTGTGTTCAGTTTATAAATTACTTTACACTTTACAAAGAAAATTTTACATCTTTTTAAGCATTGTGGGCAGCGTGACAAATTGTTTGGGGTAGTCTAAAGAATAAGAAAAGATGAGAAAAATCACAATAATTACTGTCATTACCTGAGTGTTACAGATTGCCAATTAATTTCATTACCTGAATGTTACAGATTTCCACAAAAATTTTGCAATTTTCTCCTTGAATGGTGCAAGTTTTTTGCATTTATTTTTGTGGGAAATAAGTTTATCAGTTTACATTAAAAGAAATCGTCATTATTTCAATTTAAAACTTCCATGTAAAGTTTTTTATATCTATCATTTGCATGACATCGCTGGATTTTAACTGCCAGTAGACTCAAATGCTGTGGCATGGAAGACCGTACGGTTGTGCAGGCTTATGGCTGCCGAAAGACAAAAAAAGCTAATGTGTGGCATGGAAGGAAAAAATGCTGTGGCTTATGGCCGCCTGACTTCCCCCGCTGGTACACTCTTCTTGTCTCGTTTAAATGTTCTTTAACATAATTAAATGGAAATTTAAAATGGATTCATTATAAATTTTCAAAAGTCCTCAATTTGTCACCATACTTTTTATTTAATAATATCATAATTGTTTTTTTTTTGGTATATTGTTGGGGGGAGCCCCCCCCCCCATTTATATTGCCCTTAGATGTGAGATAGGGGAGTGTGATGCATGACCCCAATCCATCCTTATAAAACCAGCTTATTAAAACAAAAGTAGACCTCTTACTTTAATGGTTTGGATGCTCGGACGACGGGAGGTGAAAAAAAGTTTAAAAACTAAAATGTGTAAAAAACGTATTTATTTTTACTTTGACAAATTTTTACAAATGACACATGTTACAACATCCATGTTTCAAATAATTAAACTTATGATAAATATTAATTATTATCAAAAGAATTTACAAGAAATCCTTATCACCTCTTCTTTACTGCAAAGTTAGCCGTGTAGGAACATTGTACAGCTAATGTACTGCACTTTATAGTCTGTTTCAAACTGAACGCTGAATAAAGAGTTTTACTCCTAAATTATCATAAAACTAAATTTTTACTTGACACGAGATAAGGAAAAGCTTATTCATTGTTTGCTCTATATGTTAGGTGCAATAAAAGTTAAACAGAATATATTGCGTAAAACTACCTTGATAACTAGAAAACAATTTTATAAAAATGGGTCTGTGTCCCGTGCTCATTAGAATTTAAAAATTAAAACCTGATTTTTAAAGTCGTCTTCCTACTAGTGTGTTCTGGCTAACATTGTATACAATCAAGTAATTCAATTTTTAAACATGAAAAGTTTAAATCAACCATTTAGGAGTTTCGACAAAAAATTCTACTTCACTTGTTAAATAGGGATTCTTATGAAGGAGGGGGTGCAGATACAAAGAACTAGATTTGTTGATTGTTGTTAAAAACTATCGTTTTTTTCTAAGAAATTGTATCGTTATTGGAAACTGTACTAACGATGGGTAACAACGAACGAACCCTTCGTTTTGAATTTTGATCTTATGAAGAACGAAAATAATCTTTAAAAAAATGTCTCTAATAAATATTAGTTTTTTGACAATTGGTTTCTATTTTTTTTACAGTAGAAAATTTGTGAATGTCTTGTCTTGTATGTTTTTCATTGAGATGAATGACCAGAATGTTTTCTGATCTCAGACCAAAAAAAATGTATTTTGTGTGAAAAAAAAGATTTAATTTGTAATTTTTCCTTTTCATTTTCGAATTTTTTCTTGGTCCCCTGGTGATTTTCTATTAATTGTGATAATAACTAGATCAAATTATTTAATTGTTAAGATCCCTTTAGCTGTAGGGCTGGGCAAAGTTCCGTTAAGGAAACAGAGGTTTTAGAAAAGAAACGGAAGAGTCCGTTAACAAACGGCAAAACCGTTATTTTTAAATCGTTAACATAATTTTAACAGTTGAAAACGAAAACCAAACAGATTTTTTTTAAACGCCAAATTTTTTTTTCTGTTTAAAATTGCCTTAAACTTGTAAAAAAAATTATAAGTTTTTGGATTTTAAATTTTGTTTTTGGCGGTTTCTGTAAAAAAACGGAAAATACAGTTAACAAAACGAAGTTTTGTTCTTGCTCTCCAAAACTAACGGCTAAGTAAGACTTTATTTTAAAACTGTTTGGAACTAGCCGGTAACGAAATGGCTTGAAATGGTTGGAACTAACCTGTATCGAAATGACTTGAAACGGTTGGAACTAACCGGTAACGAAATGGCTTGAACCGATTGGAACTAACCGGTAACAAAATGGCTTGAAACGGTTGGAACTAACCAGTAACGAAATGGCTTGAAAAAGTTGGAACGTGCTCAGCCCTATTTAGCTGGAGCCAAGCATTAAAAGTACAAACTGAATAATGCTAAAAAATGTTTTGTCTTTCTCGCCATCAGTTAAAAATTTGAGAGTATAGATCTAGACTATCCTCCTTATTTCTGAAAATTGGGATATCCTCTTTTGAGAAAAATAAGACTTGTCTTAAACTCTAATTTTCATATCCTATATATTTCAAACTTCAATGATTAGTTCTAGTGAATTCCTATTTTGACATATCAAAACATCGGCTGCAAAGATATAAGGGACAGGCACAGTGACAGAACAGCTAGTCATAGTAAAAGGATCATTGACACGGACCGCCCTGCCTATCTAGCTTGAAAGGGATTTATACTAAACAGTAAACATGTATATATGTAGCTGCAATATTACACAAGTTAATCAATCAATCGAGCTAGGCGCAGAACTTGGGGTTGTTAAATATTTTTAGACTGATTGACGATCTAATATGATGTGGAACACCCTGTAGATAATGAGCGCCATGCATTTTTAAATATCTTGAGTTTATAAACGTTATCAGTATGTATACAAGTTTTATTGTTTTTTACTGTCCTTAAACCTTAAACAAACACAAAAGAACCTTTAAGCTCTACCTACATAAATTGTACGTATTATAAACTTGAGTCTAATCCGCATTTCAGAACAAAGGTCACTTTCATAACTTACAAAATAAAAAACTGGTTCATTTTTAATTTATTAATGTAAATGTTTTATTTATGTAAATTCTAATTCTCACTCCAACTTAACTAGAAAAAGAATTAATTTTAATCTTATTTAATTTTTAAAAAACCTTTGATTAAAGGGACTGTAAGCGTAATTTCATGGGACCCTTCATACAAAGATGGCAATGCCCAATTTGGTCAGCGTCAGTTCAAATTTCCATTGGTTCTAATTCCTCTGTGAGTAAATGACATTCCTTTATAAAAAGCTGGTTTTTTGGTTTAAAACATTTCAGGTGATCCTCCACGCAAAGATGACAATGCTGGATTTACAACAGTACCTAAAACAGCTTTGTCTTATATATCATTTTTTTTTAATTTTGAAAACTGATTATTTTCAATTGTAGTTTATTTACTAAAATGTCTTGCGCATTTCTACGGCAGGAAAACAAATAGGAAACATAAAGCACATGTTAACCTAGAACAACAACAATATATCTTTCCCATTATTGATTAAATAAAGGTTTCAAGGGTATCGTTGTGAATTGGGCATTGCCATATTTGCATGGAGGGTCACTTGATTTATACTTACAGTACTTTTAATGAAAATAATGTTTTGAAGAAATATGCACATAATAGTTTTTCAGTATACCAACCTAGAATAAATATAAAGGAATTGAGTCTTTGCCACAAACTCATATCTTTGTATCCCCATATCTTTGCAATTGATGGTGTAAACCTTTGATATTTCAAACTTACATTAACTAATAATTTAGGAATCATAGTTTGAAATATCTAGGATCTACGACGTTGGATTGCAAAGATATAGGGATTAGAAAACCATAATTTGTGGCAAGAACTCAATTCTTTTGTGCAGAATTATTTTTTCATAATTTTCAAAGAAAATTAAAGCATTCATTTTTAAGGGAGTAAAGAGACCTTTACTGATGTTGTCAGAACTAGTGGATTGTCAGTAAGGTAAGATGTGATTTAATGTTAATGCCCTCCTTGGTTTTTCTACTAAAGTTTCATTATTAAAATGCTTCCCCCCCCCCACACTGTCCTTTGTTCAGTAAATTCAATAAATTTTATTTATCTCAATATTTTGCTGTTCTAGTTTAAAAAAAACTCAGAAGAAGAATATATTTAGAAAATCAAGAGAGCTCTTTAACCAAACAAGAAAAAGGTGGATTCACAATATTCTGGAAGTGTGAACTGTAAAGTAAACCAACATATTGTATTTTCAAGATAACAATTAATTTCGGCATGCTCTATTTCCTCTTTACTAAAATATCGATAATTTGTCAATTTTGCAAATAGGTTTCCAGCAGAATTCAAAATTTGCACTGCTCACTGCATGCAAAAGGGAAAAAGTAGCGAAGCAAAAACAACATTTATTCCCCTAAATGATTCTGGGAACTTAACATCTATAGAAGAACTATTTGTTAAGAGACACTTTAAATATCAAACAAATATATAAGGGAATTAGAATGAGGGGGAGATCAGGTGCCCCGGTATATACAGTTTATCCAGCATTAAAAGTATCCCAAAAGAGAAAATGTTTATTTCTTTTATATTTTAGGAAAAATCAAGATGGAGAACATTGAAGAAGAAGAAGGCAAAAATACATACCAGCTCGAAGGGGGAGAAAAAAGAGAGTGGACACCTGCTGAAGCTGCAGACTGGTTTGCAGAGAAATATCTTCCAGATCTTAGAGAAGTCAGTGTCAGATTTCCAGAAGAATGGATGTACAGTGGTTGTTCTATCCAAACCCCTGATTTACCTCCTGATCAGTTAGAAAAACAGATGTGTGAAACTGTAGAATTGGGAGAGAAGGAGAAAGTTGGCAGCTTCATGGGGAATGTAACTGGCGACAATGCTGAACATGAAATGTATAAGTACTTGACAAGAACTCCTAAAACATCAAGAACAGCCCTCTTACAAAACTACACTGTCAAGAAGTTCCGTTTATTTACTGGTACAAATAAACAGAATCAAATTGAAGATAGCCAAGAATTTGACTTTATATATGTATTCAGTGATCACAAATATGTGCATGTAGAAGTCAAAACAGGAACACGTGGAGGTGGAGGTTTTATAGAACAGCTTGATAAAGGAGAGAAGTTCTTCACTGAAGTACTAGGTGTGCTAGCTGCTGCTGGTTTAAACATGATCAACTGGGAGTTTATACCTGTTGCAGCTTTTCCTAATACTAAAAATCAAAGCGAGGTAGACACAATTTATACATAAAAAACTACTTGAAAGTTCTGTAAAATCTTTGATAAAGCAGAGAACCTTCAAGGTACACAGAAAATTGAAGTAAAAAAATGTAAATATGTCATGCCAAAATGTTAGTATTATGCCTAATTTTATGAAATGTATTTGTACTATTTATCTACCGTTTCTGCCTGAGAAGTAAATTGATAAAGATATCAAGTAAATTTTAACAGCAATAAACTAATACTATAGACATGTCCATAATATATTTTTAAAATTTTTGAAATTGTAGATGTAAACGATATGTAAAAGTGTCTAACAAATAAAATCCAAAATATTTATTCTTATTCTAAATCATTATCATTGAAAACAAATCTAAATACATGATAACATTTAGGTAAGAGGACATCAAGCATTTAAAACAAAGTATCCCAAGGGCTTCATTTTAACTCAACATGAGATAAAAAAGCCAGAAAGGCTGGAAGACCTACTACTGCCCAGAGGTCAAAATTTCCAGATTGATAAAACATACCTTGCACTGGTAAAACTGTTTATGGCCCCAGCACACTGTTCAAAATCTGCTGCTTCTCTCTCCCTGACACCCTCAGACCCTGTCAAGGAAACTAAAGAGAAACTTGTTGGATCCAACACATCAGATCTAGGTGTTGGAGTGTCAGAGGATCCAGGACCTCCTGCCAAGAAAACTAAATGGAAACTTGTTGGATCCAACACATCAGATCTAGATGTTGGAGTGTCAGAGGATCCAGGACCTTCCTCTTCCACAAATACACTCTCTTCCTTGAATAGAAAACCAGTTGGTTCTCAGGAAAGCATTTTGTTCTGGAACAAGGATCAAGCTCAGTTCCTCTTTCATGATAACCCAAGATGTATTATAAAAGGGGACTTTGGTTCAGGTATAAAGAGAATTATTTTTACATTACTTTATTTTTAAGTCTGTAAAATCTTCATGGTAAAGTCTGCAAAATCTTCATGGTAAAGTCTGGAAAATCTTTATGGTAAAGTCTGTAAAATCTTCAAGGTAAAGTCTGTAAAATCTTCATGGTGAAGTCATCAAAATTTTCTGAAGTTACCTCTTGATAACTTATAGTGTCATGTTGGGATACACCTTCCGTCAAAAATATCCAAAGAAAGGATAATAGTCTTTTTAGGAAATTCATTTTACATTCTAATATTTTGCATAAATGAGCTATCTTTACCCTAATGCTTCTTTAATAATGTGGTGAGAACAAATAAATAAGGCGTTCAGTATATGTAGTACACTTATAAAATTATTTCACAATGATAAATATTTTAAGAAGATTCTTTTGATTTGACATGTTTTCAGAATATGAAATGTTTTCAAAATAACAAAATTTTTATGATTTAAATGTTTCCATAAAAAGAAAGTTATTCAATGATAAGAAATGTTTTTGATAAAAAGAAATGTTATCCTAATAAGAAATACTATGATAGTAAGAAATATTATCATAATAACAAATGTTATCATAGTAAAAAAAGGTTGGGGGGGGGATGTTTTCCACCCCCCCCCATCCCCCTTGATTTTTTCTTTAGAGTTGAGATTTGGGAGTGTGATTCATGTCCCTAGTCCAATAAGCAAAAATTCATAATAAGAAATGTTTTATAATACGAAATTTTTTCATAAAAAGAAATGTTGTTATAATAAAAAATATTGACATAATAAGAAATATTATCATAATAAGAAATATTATCAACATAAAAAATGTTATCATAATAAGAAATATTATCTTAATAAGAAATATTATCATAATAAAAAATGTTATCATAGCAAAAAAAGGTTGAGGGGGTGGATGTTTTCCACCCCCTCCCCCCCACATCCCTTTGATTTGTCCTTGAGAGTTGAAATTGGGGAGTGTGATTCATGTGATTCATGATTCATGAGTGTGATTCCAATAAGCAAAAATTCATAATGAGAAACGTTTTTATGAAAAGAAATGTTTAAGTAAGAAGAAATGTTTTAATGATAAGAAATGTTTTAGTAAGTAGAAATGTTTTTTTTTTGATAATGTGAGTTTTTATAATTTAAAATGTTTTGATGTTAAGAAATATATTGTAATACGAAATTTTTTCATAAAAAGAAATGTTATCAAAATAAGAAATGTTTTATGAATAAAAAATGGTAACGTTCTAAGAAATATCATAACGTTATCTGATAAGAAATAATATCATAATAGGAAATGTTATAGTAATAAGAAATGTTACCATAATAAAAATTATTATAATAAGAAATAGTATTATAATAAGAAATGTTATCATAGTAAGAAATGGTATCATAAAAAGAAATAGTATCATAATAAGAAATGTTATCATAATAAGAAATGTTATCATAAAAAGAAATATTATTATAATAACAAATGTTATCATAGTAAAATACCAAATGCCTTTAGAGTTGAGATTTGGGGAGTGTGATTCATGTCCCTAGTCCAATAAGCAAAAATTCATAATAAGAAATGTTTTTGTAAGAAGAAATATTTTTACGATAATAAAAGTGTTTTTAATTTGAATTGTTTATACATTTAGAAATGTTTCATAAAAAGAAACGAAACGCAAAATTTATATTTCGTTGCTAATGTCATTTCGTGCAAAATCACTATTCCATTTTTTTGCGACTCTGCTTTAAGCAATTTTGCTTCTAAGGAAATGGTCATAATAAAGAATTTTTAAGTTAAACTTGGGGGGGGGGGGTGAAAACGTTCACATACTTTTATTTATTTTACAAAACTGAGTAGTTAATTAAAACGTCAATCATTTTGAATGATAAACATTAAACAAGTCTAACTACCTTTAATTAATTAAAAAAGTGACTGTAAGCGTAATTTCATGCAAAGATGTCAATGCCCGATTCACAATGATACCATAATACATTAATCTGAAATGTGGAAGATAACGTTGTTTTCATGATTTGAAAAATGTTTAAATTCTAATTTCTCCATTGTTTCTTGTAAGCAAGAAATTTGCAAGTTACTTTTGCAGAGAAATCGCAATTTAAAGAAACAAAAACATGGAAATACAATTCAGACTTGGTCAGACAAAGCTTTAAAGGGTACCCTTGTGAATCCAGCATTATCATCTTTGTTTGGAGGGTCCCTTGAAATTACACTTACAGTCCCTTTAAAGAATACTGTTGTTAATCCAGAATTGTCATCTTTGTATGAAGGGTGACTTTAAATTACGCTTACAGTCCCTTTAAAGGGTACCGTTGTTAATCAAGCATTGCCATCTTTGTATGAAGGGTCACTTGAAATTACGCTTACAGTGTGGCGGAAGACGATCTATTATGAAGAGACTGAAGCCGGATATTGGAACGCGGCAAGACGTACTCAGAAGCTGCCACGTCACCTTGATATTTAATACTTAAAATCTTAAACTTAAATTTGTACTTTTACCAGTTAATAAAGTAATTATTTATTCCTCGGTCGTGTTAAATTGAGCGTAGCCAAATTGGTGACCCCGAGTTTTTCGCTCTTATAGACTGTTCGTTCAACACTATAAACTATTTTAAAGCTACCCGCTCAAGTGAATATGCCGAAGGACAGTGATAATGTCCAGGTCCGAGCCGAGCCAAGCTCTTTAGACCTTCTAAACACGGTATCAGTGAAGGTTCCGGCGTTTTGGCCTGAGTCTGCGGAGGCCTGGTTCATACAAGTCGAGGCCCAGTTTGCTCTCAAGGGAGTGACGACCAGTTCCACGAAGTTTGTTGGCGGTGTCGGAGGTGTCGGCGGTGTCAGTTCCTCAACCTTCTTCGTCGCCCAGCAATCAATCAATCAGTCAAGATTTTTCAATTCCCGGTTTTAATTTTTCTGAAATATTATCTCTACAGAGGTCTTGCTCATCAGTACAAGCCATGAAGAAATTATCTTCACTCTCAATTGTAAACATTACCCTGGATTCCGGTGAAATTTTAATTTGCGATAATTCTACAGGAAACCTTAGACCATTAGTTCCAGCAGTTCTCCGCAAACCTGTGTTCCTTGCTCTTCACAATATCTCTCATCCTGGAGTCAGAGGTTCACGGAGGTTAGTCTCCGCTCGTTTTGTCTGGCCTGGTTTAGCGTGAGATGTTGGAATGTGGGCCAGATCTTGTCTCCAGTGTCAACGGAGTAAAATACAGAAACATGTGAAAACTTCTGTTCCAACGATTCCTGTTCCCTCGAGACGGTTTTCTCACGTTCATATAGACATAGTTGGCCCTCTACCGTCCAGTCTGGGTTACTATTATTTGTTAACCATGATTGACAGAACTACACGCTGGCCAAAAGCAGTTCCTTTGTCTTCAATCTCCACGGAGGCCTGCGTGAGAGCGTTTATCTCTTCCTGAATTTCAAGATTCGGAGTTCCAGCAACATTAACTTCAGACAGAGGTGCTCAG